CCAATCTGATCATATAGGAGTCAAACCGTTTATACCACTGTCTCGGAGACTGTTTCAACCCGTACAAAGATTTCTTCAATCTGCAAACTAAATGCTCGTTTCCAGGTTGAGTGAAACCTTCAGGTTGTCGCATGTAGATCTGCTCCTCTAAATCACCATGCAAAAAAGCAGTTTTAACATCCATCTGCTCTAAATGCAAATCCCAACTAGCCACCAATGCAAGTACTGCTCGGATTGAAGTGTGCCTGACCACAGGAGAAAAGATTTCATCATAATCAACTCCTTTCTGCTGTGAAAAACCCTTCGCTACCAAACGAGCCTTGAACTTCTCCCCCTCTTTTTCTGTTACTACTGGTTTCTTCTTATACACCCATTTGCAACCAATCGGCTTCTTACCCTCAGGAAGAGGAACTAACTCCCATGTGCGATTGTGATTCAAAGACTCCATCTCCTCAACCATGGCTGCCATCCACTTGTCGTTTCCTGACTAGTAACGGCATCATGAAAGTAATCGGATCATCACTGTTAACAATAAGTGCAAAAGATACCAAGTCTTCAAAACCCAATATGTTCGGAGGCTTTATATTCGTCCGTCTCACCCTGTCTCTGGCGAGACTATAATCCTGCAAATCATCCGTAGTGGAACCACCAGAAGTCGGTTGAGAAGTTTCTGGTTTCTCAACTGGAAACTGCTCGAAATCCACCACTGTCGTGTCTTGCTTCTGCTGCAACATGGATTGTTCATCAAAAACGACATCTCTACTAATCACAACTTTCTTCGCAACTGGATCCCAGAACTTGAATCCTTTGACACCTTTCTTGTAACCCAGAAAAATGCACTCATTCGATTTTGCATCAAGTTTGGATCTCTCATCAGCAGGTACATGCACATAAGCAGGACAACCAAAAATCCGTAAGTTATCAAAACTAACATCATGACCAGTCCATACCTCTTCTGCAACTTTCCAGCCAGCGATGCCCTTGGCGATCTGTTGATAAGGTAACACGCCATGTTAACAGCCTCAGCCCAGAAGTGTTTGGGAAGCCCCGCATTCAACCGCAAACATTTGGCTCTTTCATTCAACGACCTGTTCATTCGTTCTGCAACACCATTCTGTTGTGGTGTCTTGCGCACTGTAAAATGCCTCTGAATCCATGCTCCTTACAGAATGTAGGAACTGTGAATCTGTGTACTCCGTACCATTGTCAGACCGCAAACACTTGATTTTTCGCCCTGTTTGGTTTTCTACCTCAGCTTTCCACAGCTTGAACTTCTCAAAAACTTCAGATTTCTGTTTCAAAAAATACACCCAAACTTTCCGTGAAAAATCATCAATAAAAGTAACATAGTACCTAGATCCACCCAAAGACGATGTCGTGGAAGGCCCCCATACATCAGAATGCACATAATCAAGAATCCCTTGAGTTGTGTGCTTCGCAGTCTTGAAACGGACTTTAGTGTTTACCAAGAACACAATACTTGTAAAAGTCGAGCTTACAGCTTTTGACACCATGCAACAAGTTTCTCTTGTGTAATTCTGCCATACCACGTTCACTAAGATGAGCAAAGCGCATATGCCACAATTTTGTCGTATCATCACAGGACTCAACAGAGTGAACTCCACCTGCAACGGTACTCCCTAACAATCTGTAGATATTCCCTGCAGTCATCTTGCCTTTCATCACAGTCAATGCTCTTTAACAATCCGAATGGTTTCCCTATCCTCGTCAGCCTTAGGGATAAAACCATCTTGTGCAAAGTGCCCAAGGAAATCAAATTCTTCTTCAAGTCTGGGATATGTCGAACACACTCAACGTCCGAACGGAGCCATCGTGCATCTTAATTCTGACATCACCAATACCAACAATATTGCAACATCGATCATCACCCACCGAACCAGAATTAACCGGCCTGTATGTCGAAAACCATTCCCTATTTGGCGTGATGTGATAAGAACATCCAGAATCAAGAATCCAAGCATCCGTCAATTGTGTCGTTGAAATAGAAAGCATATCACCCTCACTGCAATCAGAATTATCATCCTCGACCACGTTCACAGACTTGGATGAGCCATCACGCTTCTCATCTGTCTGCTTTTTCAACTTCGGACAGTCTCGCTTCATATATCTCGCCACCTTGCACTTGTAACAGTGAATCGTCTTCTTATCCCTGGATTTGGATCTGGAATTCCGCTTCCCGGACCCTGCCTTCTCTGGCTTCCGTCCACGATCTCGATTACCCTTGACATATAAGCTATCGGCTTGAGAGCTTTCCCCTGCATTCTGCTTCCGCTGGTTGTGAGCCAACAAGGCTGCAGTAATCTCCTCAACATTGATAGTCTCTTTCCCATATGTAAGAGTAGTCACCATGTGTTCGTAAGAGGGAGGCAACGAACACAACAGTATCATCGCTCTGTCTTCATCCTCAATTTTCACATCAAGCCGAGCCAGATCAGAAACGATTTGATTGAAGACATTCACGTGTTGCGCCAAATCGTGATCGTCCTGCATCTTCAGCCCATACAGTCGCTGCTTCAGATACAGTTTTGTCGTTAAGGATTTGGACATAAACTGACTTTCCAACTTCCTCCAAATTTCGTCTGGAGACGATAGATGCATGACGTGATATATGACCTCGTCCGCCAAGCATAATCGTATGGTTCCTGCCGCTCGCTGCTGCAATTCTTCCCAATCTTCCTCATCCATCGACGCCGGCTTTGTAGATCGCAAAGCCTTCAAGATCCCTTGCTGCGCCAATAGATCCTTCACCCTCGTTTGCCATAATCCGAAGTTACCCTGACCATCGAATTTCGCGACTTCGAATTTTGCTCCTGACATCTGATACCAACTGTTGACGAAAACGGGTAAAGAAAACAAAAGAACACGAGAATTTTACGAGGTTCGGCAATGTGCTTACGTCCTCGGTGCCTAGGCGGCGCTAGAAGTTTTTATTCAATGATATTTTAGGTCTAGGTTACATCTCTATTTATAATAGAAAACCCTGGTACATAATTACAAAATTAACCCTGTACCGTACCGCGAGGGCTACGCCCCCGCACCCCCAACCCACATAATTCGTAACCTCACAACGAGACTTTCTTTGTAAGGACAGTTGATGTTCGCTGCGTTCGCTTCGCTCACTCCGCTCCATCTCCTGTCCTCTTTACTGGTATATTTATGAGCCATACCTAACATGAGTGAAACATAAAAATAAAAAATAAAAAAAGGCAGATATTGTTGCATAAATGTTAGACGAGGCTGCATATGTATCGTGCATGCTGCATGTGAGACATGGAAGCAACATCGCATGTGCTTCTGTACTAGTGGAAAACTTTAAGCTTATCAAATAGTTTAAGGGACAAACCCAATCCTATATATTTATTCTATATCTCATATTTTAGTCTCGGATATCTTGACAGTTATCGATTCAAACTTTGTTCAATATATATAAGCTTTATGAATCATTTAAGCTTCTTTTAGAAAAAAATTTAAAAAAGCAAGATATATATTCTTAACTACAATTGGACAAAGCACATCATATATCTTTAAATTACACTCAACTAATTTTTATAATTATTAAATTTTTAAAAATTATAAAATGATCGTGATTTAAAAAAAATTATAAAATTATTATTGCGATGTTAACTGCAATTAAGTAATGATGTGGTATGTTATCTTAATGGTTAATATCTCTTTTGACTCCTTAATTGTAATTAAAATTTTATTTTAAAATATAAATCTTTAAAATCATTACATGAAAATATTAAAATAATACTAAAATGAAATTTTAGACAATTGAAGAGTCGAAAGAGATATTAATTGTGCTATGTTACTTCTTAACGATAAATATTAATGCCATGAGGACCATTTTATAAGCATTCAAAAATTTAATAATCATTTTTTGATGTTTGATATACTAAAATATCATCTAAACACAATTTAAGATTTTTAATGTACTTAACCTAATATAATTTGAGACACACGTATGTATGTATCTCCTAAACAATTAGTTAGTTTAAAAAGAATAAAGATCAAATTCTTCCATAGTTGATGATACCTATATCTATTATAAGATGCTAAACAGATAATATTGATTATGTGTCCAACATGTAACAAATATTTGCAATATTCTCGTTACTATTGATACACGTCAAATTTTAGATTTTTTTTTCTAAAGGAAGAAAAGAAAACTGAAAGAAACCGCCCAAACCACACTCTTTATAGAGTAATAGCCCTTTTCAATATTCACATTCGAGCTCATCATCTCATGTCCATCACTTGATAATAATAGAAAAAAATATATATTAAGAAACAGAAATTTAGAAGAAAAAAATAAAGATGTGATATAGGGTTGGTTTAGATTTCGTTATCTGGTAAGTGGCGAGGTTGGGTATATATACAAAAGTAAAATGAAAGATTCATCAAAAACAGTTCAAGGATAAAGATAAAATCTCATGATTTTATTTTTTTTAATATAAAATCAAAAAATCTATAATATGGTAAATGTATATATAAATATATTGGAATACAAATTGTTGAGACTAATATATATATATATATATATATATATATATGTTTTGAATCTACTATACGAATCAAGCTACATCTATAGTTAGTTATCTATAGAGATTTTAAGTTCGAGTATGTTTTCTAAAGAGTGTTTGAATGTTCATTATAATGATTAAAAAAATTTCGGATAGATATTAACTTTTAATCAACCAAACTAATAAAAAGAATCTATTGAATTACTTAGGTTTCTTTTGCTCTTTTTACTACCATATATTTGTCTCAGCATCAGTATGGAGTGAGGAGTGAAAAAGACCAACTGTGTTTCATTTTCCTTCACAAAGCTACCCTTTCAGATTAAAATAACCATAAAACATGATTCCCTTAAAAAACTTGCCCATGTTTTGGATTCCTCTCTCTCTCTATATATATATAAATACCTACCAAAACCTTCATAACTTCTCACCACCACCAAGCTCTGAAACAATATTTTTCCTTTTCCTTGCTCTATTAATCTCTTGCTTTAGCAGGTTTTAGTTGAGAAAATGCATTTCCAGATAGGTTCACGGGGGAGTTACGTGGCGACCACGAGGACAAGTGCGGGGGAGCCGCTGGAGAGGATAGAGAGGTTGGCGTCGGAGAATGCGGTGGTTATCTTTAGCGTTAGCAGTTGCTGCATGTGCCATGCGATTAAGAGGCTGCTTTGTGGTATGGGAGTTAACCCCACGGTGTATGAGCTGGACGAAGATCCTCGTGGGAAAGATATGGAGAAGGCATTGATGAGGCTGCTCGGAACCTCTCCTGCTGTTCCTGTTGTGTTCATTGGTGGGAAACTGGTGGGTGCGATGGATAGAGTCATGGCCTCTCATATCAATGGTACTCTTGTTCCTCTTCTCAAACAAGCTGGTGCCCTCTGGCTTTGACTATCTATTGGATCCTTCCCAAAAAAAAAAAAAAGAGAGAGTGATAATAATATAGGAAAGTATGGCAGAGGAAGAGGAGTATTAGTTTTGGAGTCTACTCCATTTTGGATACTGCAATGGTTGTCATGTCTTAATCTCAACCTTTTTTCTTTTACTTCTTATTCATGTTTTTAGTTACAAGTGGGTCTTTGTTGGTGTGCTCAAGTTTTTTTTTATCCTAAGAGTGAAATGTAATGGGTGATGCCTCTCCCTCCTCTGTACAAACGAAACAAATTAAAAAAATAGTTACTATTTCCAATGAGCTTTCTTTTCTCATTTTTACTGTTGACTTCATCTTAATGATCTCATCTTCTATTATAAAGTATGGAATGGTAAGAGTTTGCCCTTTTTTTAACTCAAAAATGAAAATTTGGGACTTTAGGCTTCTTTTCATTAGGTTAAGGTGATCAAAAATTAATATTTGTTTTTTATAATTCTAAAATATAATATTTTTTTAAAGATTTTTAATTATTTAATAATATATATTTATATTTTTATACGCACGATATTTAAATTAAAAAAATTAAAAAATAACAGCATTTCTTTTAATTGATTGGTTGGTGTTTAAAACCTAAGCACAACCAAAAATTGTTGCCATTGAGTTTGGTATAGAAGAGCTCCCCCCCACGGCCACGAGGCATGATCGGATTTAAGTTCAACTTCAAAGATTTTGGTCGGGTCTGTGAGATGTGATAGGGGATGGTACCAAATCTTTGTGGTGGTGGTGGTTGTTTTGGGTAGGTTTCGACGTCCGTACAATCACTTAATTTATTATTTGAGTAAATTACATCATTAATCACTTAACTTTACTTTTTCTCTTATTTTACTCAACATACTTTCAATTTTTCTATTTTGTTCACTGAACTTTACATATTGAATCATTTTGCTCGATCTTCCGTTAACTTTTTAACGGTGTTAAGACATGGCACAAACATCAATATGACGTCATTTAGAGAAATTCAAATATACACCAAAATGAAGTTTCGAATCTTCTTCTTTCCTCCCATTGCGGCAGCCGACCACCACCTCATTTTTCATTTCGCCCACCGTTGACAATCATTGATGGTAGTCGTTCGGTCCCAAAATTCTTGGGTCAATTACTCTCGACCACCTGAGTCCAAATCTGGTGGTTGTTCCATCGAAAAATGTTCTAAAATCCATGAATCTCGACTGAAATGTTTCAACTTCCTCACATTCAATCTTTGATTCGTGAACTTCAGAGTAAGTTCCGATAAAATGGAGGTTGGATTTGGACTTAAGGTATCGAGGCGAAACGACCCATCAAATTTGGGATTGAATGACCACCATCTACGACGATCGACGGTGGCCGACGGTGGCATCCATCCACCTTCTGTTTTTATTTAATAATTGGGTAAGCAAAATAAGAGATAGAATAAAGTTCAGTAAGAAACGGTGTAACTTACCCTTTATATTTTTAATTATTTTATATTAAATAATAATTAAATTAACACATCATCACAACGTTAGAGAAATAACGACATAGTAAGTAAAATGATTTAATCTATAAAGTTTAATGATCAAATAAAAAAATTAAAAATACAAAAAATAAAATAGGATAAAAAATAAACTTTAATTAGGAACGGAGTGTTTTACCACGTGTGATAGGCGTGGTGTATGATGACGTGTGTGATTTTGTGGGGGCTATGAATGAAGATTAGTATGTACGAGATACAGATAGTGATGGACAGGTGGGTTCCTATATGAATACAGTATATCCCTTTATTCTGTATATGTTTGGTGTTGGGACTCGGACGAAATGGTTAGAATGTGATACGATTGAGTAATATTTGATTTGATTTAAAAATATTTTATTTGAATTAATTTGATTTAATTTGATTTATAATTTTATAAATTTGACTTGTAATTTTATAAAGTTTTGCTTGATTAAAAAATTTGGATCCAAAACCGTTTTATAAATAAAAATAGAATAACTTGAAAGTTTTTGTAATTAATAGATTGATCTTAAAGTTTCAGTCGCTCAATTCTTTATGATATATGTGTCACATATAAAAAATATGAATACGAATATATATATATATATTGTATATAATTAAAAAAATATTTAAATTAGAATAAAATAGTATCATGATATTATATATATAATTAAATTAAACAAAAACTTGAATAATTTATCTAAAATAATTTTAAATAAATTTCAAGTTATAAAATAAAACTCATCCCCTTGAATAACTTAAAAGTTTTTATTGGACTTACTCGATTTGATCATCCTGAACTATATGTATATACTAATCACGTCTCTTGTTAATAAAATCGTTAGGACGAGTTAAATTATTATATGTTTAAAAATTAAAATTTAGGATAAATTGTGGTTGAAACTACTTACATATTTGGATGAATTTGGGGATGAAATTGGAATATTCAAAAGTTTGAGGACTAAATTAGAAAGAGGGTCATAGTTTAGGGATGGAATTAGAATGTTCAAAATTTTAAGGACTAACTTAAAATGAGAGTCAAGTTTAAGGATGAGATCAGAATATTCAAAAGTTTAAAATCCAATTTAAAATAAGGGTTATAGTTTGAAGACATCATATGCAATTAACTCTAAGAAAAAATATATTTTCAGATAATTTAAATCTAGGATGAGTTATTTGGTGATAATATTCTTTTTAATAAAATTTATCTTAAAATAATAATTCTTTAAAAATATATATTCTTAAACAAGTGTTGCTCCTAAACAATAGTTGGTTCTAATCCTATTCTGTATTGAGTGAGGGAAAATTCTACGGTTCATATCACATATCGTAATGTATTTCTAAGTGTCATATTGAAACACACCATAAGCAAGTTTGTTCTTATTAAGTGAATATTAAAAGGATATAAAGATTTATTTAAAATTAATCATAATTAAAATTTAATTTTACTTTTAATAAAATTATAATTAGTTTATAATACTTTTATTAAAAATAATAATTAATTTAATTTTTTAGAATTACGATTTGTAAATTATTTAATTTAGGAATGATCATCATCAACAATCACCATTGAGACCTTAACTAACTGGAAAACCCGTCAGAAAATTTTCCGTAAAATATTATATTACAAATCTAACCCAATCATTTGTCGTTTCACAGATCATTGTTGCCCAGAAGTCAGCCACAGTCGGCCGTTGCCCAAGAAAATCTCTGCATAGAGGTTGGCCGACTCCCCTCTTAGTTTCCATTGATTTGCACGAAGAAGGGAGTTCTAATTTTGAAAGGTAAAATTACATTCCAACACCCTAAATTTTCGTTTTATTTAGAATGGTTAAATTGCATGAAAAACTCACCCCAATAGTTTCTCCTATTTATATTTTCGACAAATGATGTTTTTGTTTTAATAGACATGGCTAAATTACAATATCTTCATACTTTTGTTTTAATTTAAGTAGTCAAATTGCATGTAAACCCCCTCATTCCCCCAAGTTAGATTTTACTCTTCTAGATTTTAAATCTTCTATAATTTGTACATTATTTTTATTTTGATAATTAATTTCGAATTTACTCTTTAATTTTAATTAAAAATTAATACTTTATTTTATTAATTATTTTTTATTAGCATTGGTTTCATATCATTTTATATTATTTGTTATCGTTAATCTTAACAATTTGATAATTTTACTTGATATTAATTGTTGTTATTTGAATCATGATAATATTAATTTTGATATATAAATTTTAATATTATCATTAACTTTAATTTTGATGCTTAATTTTAACTTGATATTAATTTTTTTCATTGCTTTTGATTGAATACTAATTTTGATACGTAAGTTTGACTTGCTATTAATATTGATCATTTATATCGATTTAATAAATTTGAACTCTCATTTATTGCTTTTGTGGGTTTGTTTGTAAATTTGCAATACATCTCTAAGTTATGACTGTTATATATTTATTTAATTTCTTGAATTAAAAGTTCAACTCGGACGAGTACTTGTACATTGATGTTATGACATTTCTATTTAAACAATAAGAAATGATTACAAGCATATGATTTAAAATAATTCGAATTAGCCCAAAACAATTCACTACAAGGTTGTAGAATAATTCGAATTAGCAAGTTAGTGGTTAGCGGTTAGTAAGTTAAGATTAACGATAACAAATAATATAAAATGATATGAAACCAATGCTAATAAAATATAATGAATAAAATAAAGTATTAATTGTTAATTAAAATCCAAGAGTAAATTCGAAATTAATTATCAAAATAAAAATAACGTACAAATTATAAAAGATTTAAAACCTAGAAGTGTAAAATCTAAATTGGGGAAAATGAGGGGGTTTACATGCAATAAAAGGAAAACTATGGGGGCATTTCATGCAATTTAACCATTCTAAATAAAACACAAATAGAGGGGGTTAGAATTTTATTTTACCGCTTAAAATTAAAACCACCTTCTTAGTGCAAAATAATGGAAACACATAGGGAAGCCAGCCAACCTTTATGCAAAGCTTTTCATGGGCGACGACTAACTGTGGGGGACTGCTGGGCGACGATGAACCGGGAGACAGAAAATGATAGTGTTAGATTTGTATTACAATATTTTTTAGAGAGTTTTCCAGTGAGTTTTTTGACTAGTCAAGGTCTCGACGGTGACTGTTGATACTGATTATTCCTAACTTAAATAATTTACAAATCATAATTCTAAAAAATTAAATTACTTAAATTAAATATTATTTTTAATAAAAGTATTATAAATTAATTATAATTTTATTAAAAGTAAAATTAAATTTTAATTACGATTAATTTTAAATAAATCTGTACACTTTATAATATTTACATAATAAAGATAAATTTGCTTGTAGTACGTTTCGGTACGTCGTTTTAGTGATACATTGTGATATGCGACGAATGTTGTAAACTCTTCCATCAAGTAGGCATTATTGACATAGATAGTTATTCCCAATATAATTGTTCTTGGTAAATATAATTGTGGAACATAACAAAAGTTGTTTTAAAATAGAAACTGTTCGAATCAAAATTGTTTTACACTTGAATTATTCTTAATTTAGTTATTTTTAAAAAACAAAAATTCGTAGTAACAACTCATTCAATAAGAGCAATTTTTTCAAAAGGGATATCAAGTGAAGTAACACTAATACTTGTTTTAGAAGAATT